TTCGAAACGCGAAAGTAAAATTCGCAACGCGCATTTGACTTTTGCAACCATCGCAACGCGAATTTGACTTTCGCGTTGCGAAAGTGTACCTTCAACAGGTCTTTTTTGCCTTCAACATAATGCAGATTGAAATTTTCTTAAACAACAAATCAACTTTTACAAATCAATTAAACAAGCAAAAAACAATTCTTATTTACACATCTAAAAAAAACAAATCAACAGCTGGTTGTTTATGCACAAATACATCAATTTCACGTAGCTCACTTCAGGATCAGTATTAACCTGCAGAAACCAAATATTTGCTCAAACAACACTTTCTACACATCTAAAACCAACAAACAGCAAATTATCTAGGTACTTAACCAAACATTTTCAAACCAATAAAGAGTATATATGTAACAACACTTGCTCAAACTTACCAATTTGTGTTGTTTATGCACACTTTCAGTAGGCGGATGCAGGTAGGCAACGTCTCGCATATATATCGCTCTAGCCATAAAATGTCGAAACCACAACCCTACTACACCTCTATCTCTATCTGTGGGAGGTAGAAACTGTTTACTTCCTGTCGTCAAACGTTCCAAGCACATGCATACGAGAGGACCACAATCCCCTATGGCTCCCTCCATTTGTTGTGGCGCTGTCTCGTCTCTGATCATTGTAACTTTGAACTTTTTTGGCTTCTTGTTTCCATAATTAGTCCAATAATCAATCACATCCATATATTTAGTCAAATGAACGCTCCATCCCTTACAAATAATATCTCTCAGATCAGACAATGATATGTAATTCAAAATGCTATCATATACTATCATCTTCAGGGATGGGAGCTGAAGCTCGATGAGAAGCCAATGACGATGATCTATAACATGGATAAACAACTGCAATCATAAATAATAATTCAATTGCGCACATCAAATAAAATTTTATGAACACCTTTAAAATATTCAAACATAAATACTAACCTTATCGACCTCCCACCACGCAAGATAAAGTTTAGCTTTTCCATTACCCAACACATATGAAGCGTCTCTCTGATCCTTCAAGTGAGCTACATGAAAAGAAAAAGTCATAATAGTACATCGCGTATTTTTTATTTTCTTCAATTTCCTTATTATCAAAAGACGTGACACTCATGTATCAATATGTTGTTTTATAAAAATATACATATATTAGTGAATTTAATAAATAAATTTTAAAAAAAATAATCAAAATGCAATATAAGAATAATATAAGACTTACCCCCATTCGAAATAGTCATTATCTTAAACCCTAATAACACACCCCACCAAGACCGATCAAGAAACAAATGCATATTATCGTCGAGTTTGCATATGTCAGCGTAACACCCCTGGCTCTGCTCATGTAGATAAAAATCAACTGCGGTCTTAGCCCAAAGGGTATTATCCAGAATTGTGTACGACAGTGTTCTCCTCTCCACTTTAGATACCGGAATGGTACTGACCGGTAACTCATACGAAAGTCAACTGTCATCTATCATGTCGGGCATGTAAGGGGGTTTATCAATATGTCGACATATTATGCAATGTGAATCGGCTCTTGAACGGTGGGAGGGACCTCTTGAACGATGACAGGGGTCTCTTGAACGGTGGGAGGGGCCTCTTGAAGGATGATAGGGGCCTCTTGAACGATAGGAGATGCCTCTTGAACGATGACAGGTGAATCGGGCTTCTTCTTATGAAGTCTTGGCACTATTAGGGTGAACGGAGACGTAATGGCACGTGCACGACGTCTGATGCGTGAACCTTGTCGTGCAAGAAAAACTCGACGTAAAATATCTACCTTATCGGGCTGCTAAAAATAAATTAATACATAAATCAGTAAATAAACAAATAAATAATGTCGAAAAAAGGTTATTTGCATTTTTAGTATATTATTAAACAAACTTACCTCATTACGTACAGTATGAACCTCATTCTGTAACGATGCAACAATCTCACGTAGAGCGACTACCTCATTACGTAAAGTAAATACCTCACCACGTAAAGCACCATTGTCATCGTGTAAAACCTCTACCTCACCACGTAAAGATCGTACCTCATCACGCCATGCACCATTGTCGTCATGTAAAGTACCGACCTCCTCACGCAAAGCATTGACCTCATCACGTAACTCCCCTAACTCATCCCGTGGAGGTGGAGAATAGGGAGATAAATGTCGTGGCATCTTTGCTGGTCGCCTATCATGAGGTGATGGTGGAGAAGAGGCTCGATGATGTGATGGAATAGGTGATGGCTCTCATTGTGGAGGTGATGGCTCTGGGTGTCGAGTTGTAGAATCGGCTTGATCAGGTGATGGCTCTCGAAGTGGGGGGTGCTCATCATCCGTGCCATCAAAAAAACGATTACTAGCTTGCCACCAATCAGTGGCAAACTCAGCCTCTGTGGGTGTCAGCCTCTGTAATGGATAGTTGGCCTCCTAACAATATAAAAGCTCTAACAAAGTTAAACATCTACTAGTAATAACTTGTTTATATATGGTAGTATTTGTGTTAACTTACATCATTCATCGTCGTATATGGTAGTAACTCTTCCCAATCCAATAATCGGATCCTCCTCCAGGAAATAGCCCTAGGAATATCATTTGGATTTTTGATTGCATATATCCGCATGCTGGGAAAAGCCTCAAATATCCAAATCTACAAACAATATAATACACAAACATTCGTAATTGTTAAATAATTAATTATAATTTTGGGAACATTATATAGAAATTCTTACCTTAAAGGCCCAAATAAAGTCTGCCAAAATATATTTGGAACCATGGCCACACAAACTTTTTCGGTTCTCAAAGGAAGACAACAACTTTTTCTAGGAAGCTTTCCATAGATATGAACCCCACGGAAACACGTTCTATGCATTTAGGTCCTCTACCTATAATATTAGGTCCTCAAAAATAGGTTGTCTGGCTTCTTTGCCTAAAAAGCCGGCATGCAAAAGTAATAAAAGGGATACTCGGACAACATCGAGGTCATCCATCCGAGTAAAACCATCTTTAACAAGTAATCTTTTCAAGTCGTCGACGTGTAAACTTGGCTTCGCCTTTGCTAGCTTAAGAAAAACCCGAGATAACCATGATGGGCGGGCGATATGACTAGTGTACCGACCTACTTCATCGTGTCCGAAGCGTAGACCAGTGATTAAGCAAAACTACTCCCGCCCAAAACAAGTATACGCCGGAGGAAAATGAAACCATATCTCTTCATCACCACGTTGTATCCTTTCGGGTAGATCGTTAGTCATGGTCTGAAGAAATAAATGGGTCAACATAGCATCTCCACCTAGATGTTGTACTTTCAATCATGGCCCGAAGCAAGTATCCTTAAACAATTTTCTTTGTACAGGTGTAAGCGTCGACGCAATTGTAGTGGCTAGGCTTAATTTATTCCTTAAGGTCAATGAAGCCGAAAAAAATTTCTACAAAAACAATAAACATACCAAGTTAGATATACTAAAAACTACAAATTATACACTATAAACAGACATGATATTAAACGGTGAAAATAAAGCCAAATATGTTTCAAACTTGCACGGTATTCACCCAAGTCATTATTCTATCATAGTTCACAAAATGCATCAGATAACATTCCAGAAGTAAGCACTTATATAAACATTTAAAAGGACAACATATAGGTTTAGTGCAGGTTCAAGGACAACATAAAGAGTAGTGGTTTATTCTTGAAACTTAAATTCGCAACACTGTGAAGTTAGTATTTGTCTTTGTTTTTTGGTTGAAGTAATGTAATTTATTCAAGTTTCAATTTGCAGAAGAAGAATAGTTTCTGAAACTTAAAATCGCAACGCGAAAATGAAAATCGCAACGCGAAATGAAAATCGCAATGCGAAAATGAAAATCGTAACGCGAAACTAAAATCGCGTTGCGATTTTCATTTTCGTGTTGCGAATTTAAGTTTCAAATAGTCTTCTGCAAATTGAAACTTGAATTAATTGCATTACTTCAACCAAAAGACAAAACAAAGACAAATACTAATTTCACAGGGTTAAATACTAAACAGTTTAGCAGTATTGGCAGCAACCGAATGAATTTACTAAGCAATTTAAGTGAAATGGTTAATCTATTATTAAAATTAATAGTAAATTTATTATCAATTTAAATATGAAAAATCTAATAATAAAAAAAAATTTCAAAATACATTTTGGCAGACTTTATTTGGGCTTTGAGAGATGGAAATAGACGGCTTTCGTCGGAGATGGGGACGGATTTCGTTGGATATGGGGACGGATGTCGTCGTAGAGAGTGAGAGATGGAGATGGGACTGAGTTGTGATTTAGGGTTTTAGGTTATGATTTGCGATTATATTGTTTACATTTGTGTTGCGAAATTAATATTGTGTTTCGAATTCGAAAATAAAATTCGCATTGCGAAAATAAACGCGCTTTGCGAATTTGACTTCTGTGTTGCGAATTTGACTTTTGTATAGCGAATTACAGATTCGCGTTGCGAATTATAGATTTGCGTTGCGATTTACATATTCGCGTTGCGAATTTGGAAACTGAGTTGCGAAATTGGAGTTCGCGTTGTGAATTTGTTGATCATTTTCGCAAATCCAAAAAAAAATTAGTTAAAATCGTATATTATAAGATATTTTCGGTCACTGAAATTATTTTCTCTTTATTTAATCGTGTCATGTTGTTATTATTTATTCCTGAAAGATATGCATATTAAGATGGGCAACGTGACTTTGGGATTTTCTTTCTCATTCTTGATGTGAGATTAATATTCCTCATCATTTATGGTGAAACATTTTCTCCTACTCAATTTAGTGAAGCCTTCATCACCAGACGTTCGTCACGGTTGTCTATTTTATATTTTTCATCTCCTTCTGACTTTTATAAAATACATTTATAGAATAATAAAAGATTTTTTTTATATTAAACGAATATACCGTGGGTTGTGAAAAAGGCTTCTAAATCCAAGTCTGTATAAAAGAAGAGATTTGGGTTAGATTTTAAACCCAAAACCCAGCAGGGTAACTCTGAAAACCCTAGATTCAGGAATCAATATATTTTGGAAAGCCTCCCTCCTCCTTTGGTTGCCGCTCTTCTTCTCTATTGTAGCTTTCTGCTTTGCTTCTGTGCATTAAAAATGGTTGAGAAAACAAGGGGAAGGAAGGAAGAGGTAGTGACAAGAGAATACACTATCAACCTTCACAAGCGTCTCCATGGCTGGTAATTTTTAATCTTTCACTCCTTTCTACAGAATTTTCATTCCTTGCATTGATCGCTTATCGTTTCTATTCTTAGTATTCTGCTATTTGCTTAGTGGATCTTTGTTTGGTTTGGTTCTAAATTAGATTTTTGATTAGTTTATTACTTTTTTCCTTCAATATTTTGATGATTTGTTTGAATTCCTTTTGTTAAATCGACCTTTTTTTTTGCGTATTTATCTTGTTTATGATGTTGAATTTAATTGTCTAAGCAATGTTCTATCATGGGAATAAGAAATGTGGATTTTAAGGTTTAGATTCATGATATTATTCATCTGTTAGAAGCTATAGATTCGTGAATCAATCTCAACTACATCTGCTTTTAAATTCGATAGCATAAGAGGTTATTTATTCAACTTCGTATCACATTGTTTGGAAATAGGTTTAACCATATTAGAGTTGAGTTTAATTTGAGATAAAATCGATTTTCCCAACTTCACTTGCTGTTGATTAAGCTAATTTATCTAATAGACTTGTATGCTTTACTTCAAGCCCGATAATTTATGCTCAAGTTTTATTTCAAATTGAAAAGGATCAAGTAGGATTTAATCTTTTCCTAATCAAATCCGAGTAGGTAGCAAGCATAGTCGAGTGACGTATGTTTCAATAATCTACTTGGTAATCTTGGAAACAGCACATTCAAGAAGAAAGCACCCAAGGCGATAAAGGAGATAAGGAAGTTCGCAGAAAAAGCCATGGGGACCAAGGACGTGAGAGTTGATGTCAAACTAAACAAGCACATATGGAGCAGAGGGATCCGAAGTGTCCCAAGAAGGATTAGGGTCCGCATAGCTCGAAAGAGAAACGATGATGAAGATGCAAAGGAAGAGCTTTACTCTCTAGTAACTGTTGCTGAAATCCCAGCTGAAGGACTCAAAGGTTTGGGCACCAAGGTCATCGATGACGATGACGATGAGTGATCCTTTGATCTCTAGTTTTAAAAAAATTGCATTTTGTTCACCTACAAGTTTACATCCAGGTTTCAAAGTCTTGGTTAGTTTTCGATTTTGAATTGTGACTTACTGTTTTCTTCGTATATTTGGTTTATTGTTGTTTAGACTTTTATGCTCAATGCAATTTTATATTTCAACAATGAATTTAGTACTTGGTTCGGTTGAAATTTTACGTCGATTTTTACAAATATTGTTGTGTACATGTTGATTTGAGAAAGTACCTTGAATCACTTGGACATGAATTCTTCCTTAGTCGACCAGATTATGCTCAAATTGGCTAACCGGTAGACCTTTGGCAACATGCTCTCAATTGTCAAAGGTCTTAAAACTGACGTAGAGGTGGCAAATTGGTCATTCGGATCAAGTTTGGGTCAGTCATTTTGGGTCTAGTTATTTCAAGTCTAGATTATATTCAGTTTAATTTTGTTCTGATCGGATCCGATATAGTTTGGGAGTACGTTAACTCGGGTCGGGTCAATTTTTGGGTCAGGTGTTTATCGGATTGATTGTTTTTTTGGTTCTGATCAATATTGAATCGGTTGATTTTTAGGTCGGGTTAATATCGGGTTGGTTGATTTTTGGGTCAGGTTAATACTGAATCGGTTGGATTTTGGGTCGTGTCAATTTCAGATCAGTTGGTTTTTGGTTTTGGTTAATCTTTATATCAAGTCAATTGGGGTTGAATTGGTTATGAGTTTAATCAAGTATATATAGAATTATTGATATATTCTTGTAAAAAAATATGTCATCTTGTTTGTTAATCTTATCATTTAGGCCTAATTTCAATTCTCAACGTTCAATAATTTTAATTAAACCATTATTTAGAGATGATAAATCGATAATTTGAAACAAATACGATCATCTGTGTTTGTTATCAAAATTTTATATTGATCTTGTATAGAAAGTTAATTTATTTGATAAAGAAATATTTTTTATTATAATTTTTATTTCTAATTAGAAATTTAATATTTTTATTAAATTTTAAAAAATAAAACATAACTTTATTTGTTAAGTTTTAGTCGTAACATAAGTAAATTTTATATTATTTTTATTATAATTCTAATATTATTTTCTTTTTTTTAATTGTTTTCTATTATTTTTATTACAAGTAAGATAACTAAACTTTATTTGTTACTGTTTTCAATCTTAAAATAATATTCTTACTTTTATATTTCTCTTATGTAACACAAATAAACTTTATATTATTTTTATTATAAATATAATATTTTTATTACAAGTAAGATAAGCAAATTTTATTTGTTAATATTTTCAATATTGCAATAAGATTCTTACTTTTGATTTGGATTAATTTTCGTTCGGATTGTTTTCAGGTAGGGTTAAATTCGGTTTGGGTTGCTTTTGATTTGGATTAATTTTGATTTGGGTTGCTTTCGGTTTATGTTGCTTTCGGTTCTGGTTAATTTCGGTTCATGTTGCTTTCGATTCGAGTTATTTTCTATTTTGCTAAATTTTAGATCAAATATGGTTCGAGTCAGGTATGGATCGGGTATCAAATCAAATTTGATTATCATATTCAAGTTAATATCATGTATTCAATCAGATAAATCGGTTCAAATAATCAGGTTCATGTCAAGTTTGCAAAGTATAAATGGATGCCAGGTCGAAGGCCTTAAATAACGGAAGTTCTGCTTTAGCGACAATGTAAGTTTTAGTCCGTAGAACTTGTTATTTTTGCCAACTTATTCTCTAAACTTCTTTTGATATATTCCTATATTTAAATTTAAATTTTTGGTCTGTGTTGATGAATGTATGTTTAAGTGTTCTAAGTAAAAGTATAAATGCAACCATAAGAACAATTACAATTGATAAAATCCAAGATAGAATAGTCATTTTAATGTAAAATTAAACTAATAATCAGAATGTATTTAAATAAAATACGTATATATTAAATTTTAAACTAATATGATTATATAAAGTCAGAATTAACTATATACTATAGTATATTATTTATTAGGTTTTAAATATGAGATTTCGAAGTTTCTAAGCATCCAACTTTTTCATTAAATTCTCAAAGTTAAAACGTAACATATCACATGTCATGTTATAATTAAACAAGTTTCTGTTATGAAAAAAAAAAAGTTTACCATTATGAGAAGAAAAAAACTAAGATACTTGGAAAATTCAAACTAATAATAACATAAAACTTTATTTTTGTTCATAAAATAAAGCATTAAACTTTGGATCTTAAGCCGGCCCAATTTGATCAAACATTATATACAGTGACCAAAACACTAACCCTGTTTGTTTTTTCCCTAATAGGGCACCAAGAAATTTATTTGAAATTTACGATATTTGCTATAGTCTCTATGGAACTCATCACGTGTTCAAATGAAAAATATATTTTATTGGACCGATTCATCTAGTCCAATATTTTATTATTTTTCTTGAAACTCGTCATGTCGACATGACGAGTTTCATTATAATAATATTATTTTTTGAGTTTATATTATTTTTTTTGTAATTTTAAAAAAATCATGGAACTCGTTATGCCGATGTGACAAGTTCCTTTGGGTTTAAATAACTAGTTGTTTATAGTCGTTGGCCAGTGACATGATTTTGAATTGATGGAGCTCGTCTTGAAAAATTCACATTTGTGGAAAAATAAATTTAAATAAATAGTCGTTTATAGCCGTTAGCCAACGATAAAAAAATAAATTCACATTTGGGACATTAGGTCATGACTATACACATTCATCTTGGGAAATTGGGATTCAAGTTAAATTTAAAAACCTTCACCAAAATGTCCCAAATGATAATGTTCATTTGCATAGACCATAACCCATTTAAACCTTAACGCATTAGATCCATTATGCCCGAATTAAACCATACCCATTACAAACCCATGTATTAGCCAACAACCCAAATGCTAAATCATGACCCAACTCATCCAACGACCCAAATCCTAGCCCATTTACAATTAAACTCAACCAAAGTCCATATCCTAAATTGTTATGGGAAAAGCTAAACCATAGCAATGTCCTCGTTGTCGTCACTTGCCTTGCCCTTTCAAGCTTCCAAAAGTCACGTGAGCAGCCAACAGATGGCCCTAGTCTCATCCGAATGAATCAACGCAGCACACAGTGGTCCCCAACTCCAATAAAATGTGCCTCTACCAACAAACTTATTGTTGAGATTTTAGAAGCTTAATACACAATCGAAAAATGTACCATGAATATAAAATTTTTGTTTAGAGAGTAAAGATAAAGAAAAGATAGATAATTTTACACAATAATTTATAGTGGTTCGACTTCTCAACTAATTCTACATCCACTACCTAAGCTCCTCACTTAGGATTTTCTAACAAATTCACTAATTTATTATTTCTTTTTCAACGATAAAAAGATAACCTTTACACAACTCCCTAGCTTTTCAAAAGCTTACCTAGAACCAAAACCCCTTTACAAGGAAAAAGATGTAAACAAAGAAAACCTCTAAAAAAGAAGGTGTTTACAAAGAATTAAAGCTTACAAGAACAAAATATTTACAAAAGAATAAAAATAAAGAGTGAAAAGCTCTTCTCTTGTGTTTGAATACTTGTATATGTGTTCTAACTCTTCTTCAAGTGTCTTGAACTTATATTTTTATGTTAGAATGTGGTTGTGGTCGTTTCTAGCCGTTGAGGATGATTTCTAGTTGTTTGGGGATGTTTTATTTTCTACAAAAATAAACTACCCAGTACAGAGGGTATCGATACTCCTATAGGGAGTATCGGTATTACCTTTGTTATTTTGAAATAAAACTAGCCGTTGGGCCTGACGGTGTCGATACTAAGCCTATTTTATCGATACTACTATGCAAATTAGTATCGGACCCCTTTGGGTATCGGTACCATTTTTTGCATTCTTGAGTTTGAGCAATGCTGGTAGTATCAGTACTACCTAGAGAGTATCGATACTTCTCTTACCTAGGGTATCGACACCACATAAACAGTATTGATATTGTTCATATAGTATATATACTGTAAGAACAGTATCGGTACTTCTTACGTGAAAATCAGTTTTGTGCTAAAATTCACTTTTAATGGACTTTGAATTATTTTTGAAAACTTTGAATAAATTCAATTCAAGTTCAAAAACATTTTGCCTCAATTTATTATATCAAAATATTATAAAATGTGGTTCAACGCTTATAGTTCACCAAATCTGTTACACCCTAATCCAATCCGATATGAAGATCACTAGATCATGATGTCACACGGGACCACCGAAGTGGCTAACCCAAAAATATTTCTTTTGGAACATTGTAAACCATTATATAAAACGTCATCCATAAGCATGCAAATAAAATATAATAAATTTGTTTAACAAGTACGTGGAACTCACAAAAATCCCAAAATAATTCACTGGGTTTAAAACGAAATAGAGTTACAACTGAATACAAAAGGGTCTACAATAGTATATGCCTTATAATAAAAATCAAGACGTACTCTGAAGTCTCTGTTGAGTTGGAACTGTTGGAGATGATAATACTCCTCGAATGGTCTCCTAAGAAACTTGTGCACAAAAACATATTCCGAACGCTGAGCTTATGAGCTCAGTGTCCCACTAATAACTATACTACATGCATTCACTAAATATGCATGCTAGAGGCATATGTATTTTGACATGAAAATATTGATCTGACATGCTGACAAATGCATCATGGTGCGACTGAGGGTTTTGTATCTCGGAGCTCACACACCCTTTTAGTATTTTTAAAAACCCTTGGGTATTTGGGTGAGATCTGGAGCTGCATCAGAAACCCGACCAAATTACTCCATCGAGTCTTGGGGTATATACGCCCACATGACAACTGAAGTGCCCTTGAACTGATTGGGATGTCCAACTGTACAATCGTAACTGCTAGAGTAATTCGAGTGTTCTGATTGTGTCTCGAGCGTCAAATAAGGCTAGTTTTATGTCATCCTAAATGTTGTTGTTTCTAAATGTTTTGAGCTTATTATTGTTCTCACTTGTAGTTTTATTTCATGGTATTCTGGTACTATTGGGTCCCTCAATTCTA